TATATAGATATAGATATATATGCCGAGGATGACGCTGGTAAATTGCTACGCTCATGCGGTCGTCAGACAAAAGACAAAATCGTATCGCAACTATTGTCATGCTGAGAGGAACCTATAAATAACTCGTTCGATGCAGAAACACTGCTGAGTCCATGGCTCATCACGCAAAATCGTTACACCACAGGCCACCATGATAACTGTTACCACTCTGTTCTGCTATAACATTCAGCACCGCACAAATTTGATCATTGCAAGCCACTTTTCACCTCATGTGTTCACTCAGCGTTGACGACATTCACCACAACACATATCTGATTACTGCAATCTAAATTGGCACCACGTATGTCCACTCACCATTCTTGACACTCAGCACCAAACGATGGGTGGGTACGTGTCCCCAGTTCTCCCCAAGTGCCGGAACTAGTTTACCGTGGGAGGCACTTCCGTGTTGAATCTGCATGACAGACAATGTGTTTGCTGACATGAAAATTGCGCATATCAAAATCATCATTACGACTAATATGCCACAAGCGCATGTGTGCACGACGAATATGTGCACAAATAAGTTTGAGGATCTACAGAGCAATCGGTAAAATTCTATGGAAAGGGTATACGACAACAGTTTTAGCTCCAAAAACATAGATGAACCGCTCAAATTCTCGAGCCCAAGGGAATGGCAAGCTATAGACCATGTCCGAATGCAAAACTCACCTTGGTGGTAGTTTGATTGACGACTACGACAGCACTTGTATTGCATAGTGTAATCATGGTCAGACTCTGAGCCATCTGATGCAACAAACGGGTGCGCGAGCCGATGTCCTAAATGTGTACAAAGAACACGAACAAGAATAAGAAACCAAAAAATAATTTCAGTGACTTTGAGAAAGAAGTGTATCATGCTTTGATACCTTGCTTTTTAAATTCTGACCTGCCTCAATACAAAGGGGGGCCAACGATATCTAACATAGCGTGATCTCTGGGCAGACACGGGGATGATGAGGTTTGGACTCTACAACGCCATGAACGTTTTACATTCCGAGCGAGCAAAATATAAGAAAAAGAGGACCAATATGATCGAGTTAACTGAATGTTGTGAATAGGTACATACAATCGATAAGGAGTCTCACACACACGCGAGCATATACATACATACATCCATATTATATATATATATATATATATATGTATATATATATATGTATTTACATATATATATAAATTTATCTATACATACATATATATATATATATATATGTATATATATATATATATATATATATATATATACATATATATATATATATATATATATATATATATATACATATACATACAGATATATATATATATATATATATACATACATACATACATACATACACACACACACACACATATATATATATATATATATGTAGCCTTCAACTTACATTTGCTTTGCCTCTGAAGTGAAAAGCGATGCTGTCGATGACCACCACACACACTTTGGGGTGAGCCTCTATAAAGCTAGGGATTTGATATAGCAAGGCAAGCTGTTCCAGATGATTCTGAACTCGGAAATAGTGAATGGCTGATATATTTGCATAGGAAACATACGAGTCACAGATTAGAGTATAGTCCAGACAAGAGATACTGCCAGACGTGAAAAGCTCGCGAGTACAAGTTTGCTGTGAGCATGAAAGGGTGTTCGTGAGCATAGCTGTTTGTAGACACCGATGCGTAGCATGTCAATGCAGTACTCCAACCGTGCAAAGAATTTACAGCCTATGCCATAGTAGGTGGCAGTTCGTAACAGCCATATAACAGAGCTAGTAAACTCCCCAATAAAGCCTTGAGCTTTCAGTTAGAGTTTTGCAGCCAGCATAGCATGTTCCTTCAGCTAATACTAATAAATGGAAGGCACATGGCCCACATCACTACTCACCCGACAACACAGAGCTGACCGAATCTTCACTACCCGTCTCCACCAGTGCAGCCAGGGCTATCTCAGCGATCCGGTCCACTACGAAGCTTCCCTCTGTGTCAATGTACACCGCTTCACCACCAACGCCCCCGAATTCAGCCTTTAAACAGGCATTAACTGCCAGCTGCATGCACAGTTGCGTTTTGCCACACCCGGGAGCCCCGCTGAACTCGGTGATAGCTCCTCGCTGCACACCCTGTGCGAGTGAGGGAAGGTACGTGTGTGAGGGTAGAAAAGAGACAACATACACAAGTATACAGAAGGGTATGAAGTATCAATACTATCAATACAGAAAGCGAAATACACATACGAGCGCACATAAACATCATTGAAAAGAAATTATGGCCGGTAAAAACGATGGTGAGTGTACAACAGGGCAATGAAACCTCTACAAATCATGTCCAACGCATCGGGTGAAGGCTTATGGTCCTGGGTACATGTGGGCTAGTACCTGAGCCGTAGTTGGGTCTTCACTTAGAATATACAGGTGAATTGTGATATTATTTGACATCAATGAACACCTGTGTGCCTTGCATTCCTTTTGTAATATATATAAATAGCTTGGATCTGCACAGCAACCTCCAAGATCCGTGTGGATGGATTCATATCTCAACACATGCAACATATGCAGATACGCTCATACTTAAGTATGGTATGCATATATAAATATAAATTTGTCTAACATTATACATACACATATTTATTGAGTATGTTACCTGCATGGGTATGTTATTGATGATATATCGCGTGCAGAAGTTCACAAGTATACTTTCTCAAGTACATCAATTAGGTACAAGGCATACTTCTCAAGAGGACATCTAGAGAGTATGACATTATTGCACATACGATTTTGTGTCCCAAGTTCACCTATGGAAACTAGCATTCAATATCAAGAAGCACAAATCAAGCATGAGATTCAGATAGTCATACATCCGACCAGAACTTTAACAGTAATGAACCCCTGGGGTGTCACATATTTACTATACAATTTGTATCCGAGCAGAAAAATTCGAAGCTTTCCACCACGTACACATATGCAAAAGCGCTTTGGCACCGTCACCGTTGTGACTTTTCATGATGTATTATCGTTGCACTTGCACACTGAAAAACACTCAATTTGACTTCACGACACCGCCATTCATCTGTTATTCTGAGTGACGACCATAACTATATAAGCTACCCTCCTACAAAGCATATTTAAACAACATATACTGTATCAATACACACACACAGCCGTTTTCATACATACCATCTGTACATCATCGTCGCTTGCACCTGCACGTGGACATAGCAGGTGGTCTAATTCGAAACTGTTGCAAGATAATCACGTTTTACATTGAGCGTCATAATTTATCGTCAGCACAGCCCCTCGTTGTGTATTGAAGCTTAATTCTGAGATAATATACGGAAGATTACTGTGTAATTATTTACGTAAACGCAATATTCTATGTATGCTCAAATAAAGAATATAGAGAAAATACAGAGAACACGCGAATGCATCCACTCAACATGATTCTTCATCGTCAAATCTTCACTACCACACACAGTGACTACCCCAGAACAGACGATAGTCTACAAAATACAATGAAATATAATAATTATCATTTCTATTCTCGGCGACCATAGGCTAATCTTTCTTTATTAGTTCCTTTACTAAAAAACCGCACGTTCTCCACACTCAGACTCACCTTCCGGTAGAGATGCATATACGGCGCCGCTCGTTCAAAAGCACTTGGTATGCGGTTAAACTGTTACCAATGCCTGTTCTACTGACGGGAAAGGCCACACTAGTCGTATCAAGTGTGATAACTTTAGCACTCGCAATGGTATTCTTGGCACTAGCTCTCTCTGCTTCGCCAATTTTACCGGCGGATTGAACTATAGCTGTATCCGTTACAGTGTTATTACATGCCTTGACAGATCGAATCAAATCCAAGGCGTCTATCCGAGATACTTTCAGTTCATCAGCTAAGTCCACAGCTGACAATTGTGTCACATCGTTTGCGTATACAAACCCTGCACGGTGCAGGAGCTTGATGTGCGAGGCCGACAGGGGCAGAGACTCTATACTGCGCTCCATCGTGTAATGGTGAATATTCTAGATGAACGAGCACTAAACCATGCTTGTCAGGTTACATGTATGAGACAATATTATAGCACAACCCCGTACTGTGACGGGTACAAGTATACTTCACAAATCAGCGCTGGTTCGTGTTCGAACACGTGCATGCCCAAAATACAGCGTGTTCTTGCAGTGTGAAGATTGGCATAGCATATCAGATGCACATGCTAAAACATTTCAAAGAAATATGGCGAATCATCCGCTTAGACTTACCAAGCTTCCGACCACTTGCTCGCAGCTATATGTTTGCAATCCCAGCCAACCTGTCCGTGCGTCGCAATAAATATATGGAGCATGCTGCACAGTACACAGTTGCACATCGCACAGCAGAAGAACAGGCAAAAACAACACGATTTTGTATTCGTTTTTGTTTTTGGGTCTTGATTTTGTTTTTTTTGCTGAATATACAAAATGGCAGTTCGGTCCTTATGCTTTTTGTTCTGAGTTCATTTCTGACTCAACTTGTGGAGTTCGTCTTTATATCCTATATATCTATAGATGTATATATATATTCTCTTCTTGTGTCTATCAAGAGGGCTATGATTTTTTTTTGGATTATATTTTTCAAAAACTAATATTCATAGCCTTCTAAAATAAATACATATATGTAGACATTTTTGGTATTTGTAGACATTTTTGGTATTTGTTTCTTTATAAAATAAATCTGAACTATCGCCAGGGGATTGAATTGGGCCAAAAAATATGAAGCGTTCCGGATTTTATAAATCTGGATTTCTATTTATTCCCAATATTGTTTGGCAAATTACAAGATTAAATATTTGCCATTATGTTAAAGTGATCTGCGAATGTTGCAAGGTTGTAGTACAAGTGGAACACCTTCTATGCTTAGGAGTCTAACACTACATCGGAATCCTCCAGAACGCGATTATTGGGTCTAAATATGAACAATTAGTGAAGTTTCAATGTTGTCGAAGCCATATAATTGAATATGCATACCAAATGGATGTCATTGACCGACATGCATGCTCGGGAATGGTGATTTTGAGCTAGTATAATAAGCCCTCTATACCACAATGATGGATATTGAACTAATAATACTTAATTATATTAGATATGAGATTTCTTAAAAAATTTAAACGGCTAATATGCGACCTTGATGTTCAAGATTTGCAAGATTTGGCAGGTCGAAAAGTGCACTATCCTCTGCATGTATCGATACATATCTGCATGAACCAATAGAGCTATTTATCAACTTGGCGCCTTCGCAAAATTCTTTTGAAATGTTTCAGAAAAAAAGTCTAGAAAAACTATATTGGGATTTTATCTAAAACCGAAATTTTTAAAATAAAAATACATTGTTAGATTTTAGGGGTGGTTCTAAAAAAATGTATAATTTTCAGAAGGCTATGCATTAAATACTTACTAGAGTAGACTAGCTCTACTATAGTAGAGAGACTAGAGTGTAGAGAGACAGGGAGTCAGGGACACGGTCTCCACAGGGTTCAGGCCCAGGCCCCAGGGACACAGGGGTTTCCGCTTTGAAGTCCATTTATGACTTTATGTGTGTACATATTTTTCTTTCTTTCTTTTGTTAGAAAAAAACAAATGCAAATTCAAAAGGATAAAGCATATCATACCTATTACCTCTACTACTACTACTCTACTAGCCGCCTCTGGCGAGTAAATATTTCATATATTAAAAGATTGAACAAGATACAGATTACAGAAGTATGAAATAATAATAAAAACATATAGGATCTGGATGATGCTGACTCTTGTTGGACGTCGGCACTCGGCAATGCGGCATCGGCCAGTTCCGGGTTTAGCTCATTTGTGAACACTTATAAAGTATGTTGTAGTTCTGGTATTAAAAACGAAAGTATGTATCAAATTCTCGTGCTAAAAATACAAATTGATATAAATCCAAGATGTTGTTCGGCTATGTCGCAATAGTTTTCAAAATTTGTCGTAATATCGACGAAATATGCTCTCGCAAAAGATGGAATATCTGAGTCGGTTGTCTGTCGTCATTAGTTATTCTGTTTTGAAAATATACCAATCTAAAGCTGTTCAGTGCTAAAGGGTGGGTGGATTGAAAATTTGAAATATTAAAGATTGCTCGATTAGGGCTGTGGGTTGCCCTTGCACATGTGCTCCATGCTTGTCCAATCATGATCTGCATGTACTGCATCTATATTTGTAAAAATGAAACAATTGTTATAAAAAAAATAAAGCACACTTTGAAAGCTTTTGACTCTTGAGGAAACTGTCATGTCAAAACTCAAAACTCAGAACTGATATTTAACTATCAGACTCATTTGTATATACGAGTGCACAATTGTACATATATATATTACAAACAAGGCATTCATTACTCCATAGTCCAAAGCAATGTTGAGATTAGTAACTGTAAGTGCACTGTCGCTGTTAGTGAGTGCGAACTCGGTCAGAGACACGTGTTGTGATGTGGAAATAAATGGCGACTGTTCAACTTCCAGTCTCTCGACGATAGTTTCAAGGGCAGCATCGGGAGATGTTATCACTGTTAACAAAGATGTTACCGTCTCCAGTCCGATTAACATAGAAGTGACGGAGCTCAAAATTAAAGGTGGCACATGCAGTACATCTACACCCACAATTTTTGTCGACATGAGTAGTGAAAATTCCGCCGAGTCTGTTGCTGCTTTCCGATCCACAAAAGATTATCAAGATATCGAATTTGTGAATATCAGATTCACACGACCCAACGATGCATCAGACGGCGATTATGGTACCGCTCTATACTTGGATAATCCTGTCAAGCTGTCCGTCAAGGGTTGTATCTTTGAGGGGTTGAGATCTCCTCTAAATGGTGGTTCGGCAATATACGTCAAGACTCTCACCGACACGTCGAACTTTGATGCTGACACTAAATTTATTGGCAACCGGGTTGACTCCGGTGGGTGTATCCCTCCAGTATGTACTCCAGCAGGTTGGTCAACGGGAGAAGTATGTCCAGATAAGTGTTGGGGCGGGGGCGGAGCTTTATGGATTGGCTCTTGCTTTGGCAGTACTGTGATCAACATTAAGGCTGATTTTGTAGAAAACGTGCACGAGTTCGCTCATGGCATGGGAGGCGCATTGTTCATAGACTATATGCAGTGCAAGTTGAATATCAATGGAAACTACGAGAGAAATAGTGCATCAGATGGTGGGGCGATACATGTTGAGGGTGTGATAGCGGATGGTGTCATGAATGTAGACGCAACTTTTACTGACAACTTAGCTCCAAATGAGCTTTTCGACCCAAGCGAAACGCAGTTCGGGGCACGAGGGGCAGCCGTCAGAGTAAGGGATGTTGGGGAAGATTCAAAAGTCAACATCAAGGGCAAATATACTGGGAACAAAGTTGAGGGTAGAGGTGCGGTTTCGTCTTTCAATCATATCTCCGGCAACGTAGTTTTAGATGTAGATGCTCGCAATAATGAAGCCATGCGCGGCGCGATAGCATCTAACTGGAGAACTGTAACGGGAAAGTTCATCATCCTTGCGGATTCCGTGATAAAAAACAACGAGGCGACCGAACGACCGGCTAGCCAGATTCTAGACTTTCCCGGAGTATCGCTTCAATTGAATGGGACCCAATACGACGCAGCGACAGCAGATGGATCGAATTTTGTCGTGTCGGAAGATTTTATATCACAAGCGTGATGCCATCCGATACTATGATTGACAGTAAATCTACAGGCACACTTGGCTTTATTTACCTTCCAAGCGTACATTAGGTTTTTGCATGCCCACCGGTCAATTTGCGCACTTGTTTGTTGGCAAAGAATGGTTGTTATATATCTATCTGCCGTATATTATATATATATATATATATATATATATATATTTATA